TAACCTGATAGAATTACTGTATCTGGTTGGTAACCTATAACCAAACCAGATACAATTTTCTATCTGGTTGCTGTAACCTATAACCTAACCAGTTAAAAATCTATCTGGTTCTCACACCCTGCTCGTAAATGCCATTTTTGTGCTGCTGCAGCGGTGACTGGCAATTGAGGCAATAAATCCTTATAATCTTGACGCGTTAGAGCTCGTGAAATGTACCAGTACCAATAGCCAACTGCAACATAAGGCTCTCGGCCAATCTTCAGCACACACACTTACTGGTCTCGTACAGCTCCAGAGAAGCAGCTAGCTAGATCCGGCCAAACTACTAGTATCCATTAGGCAGCAGTGTTCAGTTCCTCACTCCAAAACAAAACCAACTCCAAGCAGACTGTCACAAAATTTCCATCCATTGTTTCTGCTCTGGCTTTCAATTTTCAACAACCATCATGTCTTCTTCCCGATCTCTGCTTTTGTCTCCTGGTAGTTCTGATTGGAACAGCGAGCTCAAAGTGAGCCCATCTCGTGGTAACGGTACCGGGGGTATGAGGCGTTGCAAATCCTCCCAGTCTCTCAGCAAACGAGCCAGGAAGCGTGCTGATATCATCCGCCAAAAGCATGCCGATTCTCAAGGACTCCGCCGTCAGCTGCGGAGCTTTCGACGAAGCAACTCCAATGCATCTTATGATTCTACCGAGGAAATTGTTCAGAAAGATGCACAAACCGTGTCAGAGTCCCTCAAGGCCATGGAAGACTTTATGAACTCCGTCAACGGCAAGCACCGGAGACGCAAGCTGCTGGACGGTCAAAAGAAGGAAGATGCTGCAACAACTGCCTAACTTGATCCACTTGATCATTCTCATTCCTTGCATTAGACATGTGACATGTGATGATGCTCCGTGTCTCATTCGACACAAAACATTAAACCAAATGAAGTAGAGATTCTTTTGTACCGGTACCTCATCGGCTATTTCTATTCGTGCTGCGCCCAATACGGTGCACTGCTGGTTCGGGTACCGGTAGCATGGAAAGTCGGAGAGTCATACAGTGAATGCGCTAAAGGACGCTCAGCTGGTTCGAGGCAAGCTGTGGCGGGTGTATTAGCAAGGTCAGACGATGATGCCGGATCATTGTTGTGGTCAAGATATATTACACCGATCAGGGTTTACCAGGCTCTCAATACCACTCACCCCAATTCCAAACTCTGCCTTGAGGGTCAACAACTTAAAGACGAATGGAGAAGGAAAGTGAAGGATCAGTTTCAGTCTTCACGACACTTTAGACGAAACATTGTTGGAAGCTGTGACTAGCCTGCGGTGTACAAGATCAAAAGAATCTCAAGAAAGACCATCAAAGGCGGGCACACATAGCTCCAGCCATTCTGAAGCAGTGTTCCAATCGATCATCTGGAATAGGATGGGTTCTAAACTCAGCTTCGACATCTTGATCGGGCTCTCATTTCTGTCCAGCCTTTGCTGGCTTGCTGGGCGCGTAACAACTGCTATGGTAGCTGTCGATGGCTTGTGGAGGCTTGTGGATATCAGTTCCCTCGGTAAAGTAGAAACTTGGTCTTCCTTGAGCTGCCTTGTAGATGGATTTGTATGCAGCAGGCTACTGTACGTCAACATTTGCACGGATGTAACCATTTCGAGGCGGTTACCGTAGCGTAGCACACGGCTTCCTGTCTCCGCCGCCCAAAGGCTGAGGGCCATGCTGTAAAAATGTTCTTTACTTTCTGGCACGCGAGTTGTTGCGTGGGGGCAAACATTCTGCACCTCTACTACCGGTGCCCGTAGTACCGGTAGGGTGCACACCTCGGTTGCAAAGATTCTGCACCCCTACTGATTGCTTGCACCTCGGCCGCAACAATTTCAGCACCTCTAGACCTGGGTGCACACCTCAGGGGCAACGATTCTGCACCTCCAGGGCCAACCTTGGTGACAAAATTCTGCAATTCTGCACCTTTAGCCCGGGGCACACCTCGGGGGCAAAGTCTCTGCACTTGTGTTTGGTGGGCTCGACCGTCCGACGGTTTTTGCTCAGATCGCGGTTCTCGTCAAGGGAATGTTGAGGGAATGTTGAAGCTTTAAAAGGGAATGTTTAAGGGAATGTTTCAGATTTAGGGGAATGTTTTATTAAGGGAATGTGCTTTCGTGATAGAGGAATGTTCTATGGGGTTTACATGAAGGCTTAGAGGAATGTTTCGTAAGGGAATGTTGTTAAGGGAATGTTTATTTTAGGGAATGTTTGAGGGAAAGTCAAAGATTTAGGGGAATGTTTAAGGGAATGTTTCAACCTGCAAAATTTAAAGTTTTTTAAAATCTGAGCGAAAACCGTCGGACGGTCCAGGGACGGGGTATCAATAGCTGTGTATGATAGCTACCGGTACAACTCGCCTATCTTGCTTGTGGATCCAACATCCACCCAAGCAAAGGCAGAGCTATGATCGGACTCTTACAAACAGCAACTAGTCACACTGATTCCCACACGACAGATGAACATCCTGATGGTCCGTTTCTATACAAGTGCCCCCACATGGCTCTAGGAGCCTTTCTCGGCGATTACAAGTAAAAGTCAGATCTCAATCCTACTACTCTCTATAGAGCCATTACTAGCAAAAAACAACAGCTCCAATTTGTACTCGATTCGGAAATTGGTTTACAATCCAGCATGGCGGTACCTGGTACATGCATCCTTCTACCTTGCCACACTCCCCAAGCCAGTGACAGGGCTCCAAAGCAGTATCCCTCCCAGCTCCATCCTGAATTAGCATTTGCTAGCTACCAAGCAACCCTCCCAGCAAGTGACATGGCTCCCTAGCAGTTTTCCTATCTCCTTCCCTCATCCTACTAGTTCCAGCCCCGGTCCTGGTCGTACCATCCCTGTTGGCCTGAGCCCAGCCAGTTAGCCTCAGCTTCCCAGTCAGTGATATCTCTATAGCATGGGCAGCTCCTTCCCCAGCTCAATGCCCAATTCCATTCCAAATGCTCCTCCTGCATAGAGCCTCAGCTATCTATGCAGTTAGCATTACTGCTAGAGCTATCAAGCAACCCTCTTAGCCAGTGGAGGAGTCGGGTCGGTATGAAGAGTGGAGTTGGGTTACAAATGGTATAATCTACCTTTATTGTATTATGAGCACAATATAAATAAATTAAGCCAGCGGAGCTGTGGAACCTCGGCAGAAAGGTTCCAGTGTAGATGCAGATACCCCTATGCATAGTGCTGAGCTTAGCTAGCTAGAAGCAGACACCCCTAGTACCCGGTAGCTAGCTAGAAGCAGATACCTCTAACTAGCAGATACCCATAGACTACATACATGTGAAGCTTTAGCTGTTTCAAAAGCAGCACTCAAGGATACTTTAAATTTTGCTGCCTTATTTGTAGTCTAACCCTACCATTATACCTTAAGGGAGCGCCGGAGGAAACACAATTAAAGGGGTTGAGGGCTCTGGCAGCAAGACTGCCGAGGTTAAGAGCCTTCTAGGTCGTCTCTACGTACAATGGCAACAAAAGTAAGTAGTGGGTTAGCGTAGTTACTCCAAGATACCATAGCCTGTATAAATTGCTCTTGTACCTGGCAGCTTGGTGGCTGCTGGGGTCGGCCCCCTCGAATATATTACAGCCAATCCTCTCAGCCTGTATGCATTGTGCAATTGCTCTTGTACCTTAATGGCAGCTTGGTGGCTACCTCGGGGTCGGCTCGCAGGCTCGCCTCCCTCTGGAATATGCATATTACAGCCAATCTCAGCATTGCTCTCCTATCTTCTACGGTAGAGTGATCTGGGCTTTACGACCGACCGTTTCGCGGAATATTCTCTTCAGGGCTGTATATCGAATATAGTACATGTAAAGAGGGGAATCGATAGAACACATGTTGCTGAGTAAGCCAAAAAATTCTCATCTTCATAGTGTACTTTGTTGGGGATTCGCGATTAGGGATTCAACCCCTGTACCTCTGTACTAGAATTTCACAGTAGAAATACAGAGCCCACCCACTTTTTCAATAGTATCTCAATAGCAACAGTAAACTAGAAGAGAGCTTAGAGCAACTAACATACTATTGAAAAAGTACTGCTATCGAATAGCAGTGGTCTACTATCGAGCCGAAGAGGAGCCTATCGAGTCAACGGTAGCACGAAGAATCGGCCGACGCCGAACGCGACACGAGAACAAGACCGCCGACGGAATCGTCGTGCACAAGACCAAGACTGTTGTTCGACGTTCGAACGACAGCAACAAGTGAAGCCCTTCCGTGTGAACTGAAGGCAACGCGACGACGCAGGATACGAGGACGGATAGCGACGCCGCAACAGGAGAAGCCTGTCGAAGAACGACAGCAACGAGTGAAGGATCCAGGACGGATCGAGAGGAGACTGAATCCAAGCGCGACGACGGAGTATCGGTCGACGACGCAGCAGCAAGAGTTTCGTCGGTAGAATCCACAAGGATTACCGGCAAGGTTGTTTGGCGAGGAGAAAGCCAACAACAAGCGCGGAAAGCCATAGTGCCAGCGCAGGACCAAGGACGGGACCCAACCAAGGAAAACAACCAGCAAGGAAACGGGTTCGGAACGGCAGCATACCGCACGAAGTGTGAAGCAATAGCGCCAGACCTTGCAAGATCCTTAGCAATTGTTTTAACACTCCCTAGCAGGAGTATAATTTGAAGTTTATCGGCCCAATAGCCATAAGACGAATAAGAGTCGGACGAGAACTTAAAATAAAGAGCTAGCCAAATAAAAAAGAAAGAATTGAATAGTCCAACCTACGTAGGCATAGACAATGAGCAGGTAGAGGTAAAGGCGAGGTGGCCGAGGAGGCGGCGAAGCACGAGGGCATGGAAGAACCAGCCCATCGTCGAACCAGCAGAAAGGTTCATGCAAAGCCCCTCGACCAACATGTGTATAACTTCGGTACAAACTGGATCTGGAACGGCATGACCAGATGATACGCACATGAGAGAGAGATCGTCAATCCACGTTGGAAAAACGATTGGGTGACGAATCAGACAATGAGCTACGCAACCTGAAAAAGACAGTGTTGTAGCACCGGTGTACTCAGAGGAGACCGGAACAGGTTGACGCAGCCGCGGAACGACGCGAACAGAACAACCTTCGTCTCCAAACTGCAACCCAAACAAACCTACAGCTACTGGAAGACGAGATAGCGAGGTCCATTGAGAACCAGACTCTCGTAGCTTACGCACACTAACGATGAGAAAGAAAACTCGAAAATGAAATAGCAACCTCAATGCAGCCATAGAAGATCAGCCGGACGAGGAACTCGGGAGACTCGAGAGAGCAGAGTATGAGGGCTAATGAAGACCCAACTTACGAGGTTGGCAAAACTTCAAGGGAAACAGAGGCAAAGCTATTCAACTTGATCCTGAGGCAGTGCACCCGACTAATTAAAGGACAAGATGAAGCAGAAAACGGACTACGAAGACATCCTGTTAAGATGCGACCAACTGGAGACTACGAAAAATGATCCAAAAGACGATACATGGCCCAGACGATGATAATTTTGTGTACCACACATATATTCAAACTGGAAAAACAACCTGTTGAATTTCCACCAAGGGAGCCTTTCCGCTTCGAATACCACGAAGCAATTTACACGAAAAAGAACATTGCAAAATCCGTGGTATTCCAAGCTACACGACGCAGCGCTGCTGCATACGGCTAACTACTCCACCCAAAACACAGAATACGCTGACCTGGCAGTCGAAGTACCAGAAGATAGTCTCGGCAACGCAGAGAAACGGTACTATAAGTTACACTTCTTAACAAAAGTTCAGCCGAACAATACCAAGCTTAAACAGAACCTGAGGGACGACTTTG